GTGATTCTGTGATTCTGTGTGATTCTGTGATTCTGTGTGATTCTGTATCGGTGCTGCCCCAACGCTGAGCAGTGTGTGCACGCTGTGACAATCAGTGTAGGTACAGAAACTTCTGGGGTGGGCACAGACCTGCTCATCCCACTGAGCCATGGAAATGCTCCGAGCCCCCCCGCTGTCAGCCCCAGGCCACTGTGAGAGTGGCAGGGGAGGATATGTCACCTCTTGGGGAGAACAAGGAGGGTAAAACTGGAGCTGGAGGTTGGGACGGCCACGAGCAGGGTAAAGGGGGCTGTGTCAGGGTGCTGCAGCACCACCTCACTGCAACCCCATCAGTGGGGTGATATTGAGCAGCCCTGAGGAGAAGGACTTGGGGGTGTTGGTGGATGAGAAGCTCAACATGAGCCGGCAATGTGCACTGGCAGCCCAGAAAGCCAACTGCATCCTGGGCTGCATCAAGAGAAGCGTGGCCAGCAGGTCATGGGAGGTGGTTCTGCCCCTCTGCTCTGCTCTGGTGAGACCCCACCTGGAGCACTGTGTCCAGATTTGGAGTTCTCAACATAGAAAAGACATGGACCTGTTGGAACAGGTCCAGTGGAGAGCCACGAAGATGATCAGAGGGATGGAGCACCTCCCCTATGAAGACAGGCTGAAAGAGCTGGGGTTGTTCAGCCTGGAGAAGAGAAGGTTCCGGGGAGACCTTATAGCAGCCTTCCAGTATCTGAAGGGAGCTACAGGAGAGCTGGGGAGGGACTCTGTGTCAGGGAGTGCAGTGAGAGGACAAGGGGTAATGGTTTTAAATTGGAAGAGGAGAGATTTAGATGAGATACCAGAAAGAAATTCTTTAGTGGAACAGGTTGCCCAGAGAAGCTGTGGATGCTCCATCCCTGGAGGGGTTCAAGGCCAGGCTGGATGGGGCTTGGAGCAACCTGGTCTGGTGGGAGGTCTCCCTGCCCAGGGCAGGGGGGTTGGAACTTGATGATCTTTAAGGTCCCTTCCAACTCTAACCATTCTATGATTCTATGACTGGGGGGGGAATTTGGCTGTACAGTGACCATGGATGGTCACACCAGGGCTGTAGAGCAGCCGTGCAAGCGGCGGTGCCACCCAACACCCCCCGGCAGCGGTTGTGCGACAGCCGTGTGGCAGCCTGGCACGGCTGCTGCGGTGCCCAGCGCCGGAGCCCCGGGGAGCGGGCGAGGATGAGTAACACAACAAACCATACGGGCGGCACAGGCTCCGCACGGCAACGCGCAGAGGGAAGGCAGCTGCCAAGCAGAGTAATTACGCAAAGAGGCAGGGCTTCGGCTGGCAGGGAAATTAGCAGGGCTTGCGTTACTGGGCGCACAGGCAAGCAACAACATCGTAGTAGGACTTGGGGAGGGGGAGGAGGGAAATTTTTCATGCTTCCCCCCACTCCCCCTAAGCTGGCACAGGCCACGCAGGAAGGGCACAGCGTGGGCAGGCAATGCCACGAATGCATGCACGGCTGCCATGCACTGCTGCCATGCACCGCTGCCATGCACCGCTTTTGAGGAAGGGCCCCACCGGCATTCCCGTGGTGCTGGGGCACAGTGTGGCCACCCAAGGGAGCCTTGCTGAGGCCAAGCTGGGTGGGGGGCACCCCGAGGCCAGGCTGAGATGGGCATGTAGACCCTGGGTTGCCAACGGGAGCTGTGCCCATGAGGCTTGTGGCTGCACATGTGGCTGCTTCTATTGCAACCCCAGTTGCTGGGTCTCCGGAGAGGAAGAAGAGCAACCCCAACTCCAGCCCCCCGCAGCCCCCCAGCCTCTTGCGAACACCCCCACCCTGCTCCAGCCCTTGCAAGTCCCTGTCCCAGCCCCTCTGCTGTTCCCACGCCCCAGACAAGCCCTGGCCCCATCCCCTTGCGGTCCCTGACCCCACACAAACAACTCCCAGCCCCTTGCAGCCCCTCAGAACATATGCA